CACACACACACATAGCACATGCACACACCAACCTGGGCCACAGCTCCATCCTGGGTCCAAAGTGCCAGCCACACTCTCCTGTCTGATGATGCGGGAGCAGGTGGAAGGCCACTCATATGGCCAATGTTATGTTCAAACTCAGGTTGCTCGTATGGCTTTCTTTTCCTGTAAGAACAGATATTCATGGTGGAGGAGAAAATGAAAAAGACCGGCACAAAGAAAATCACTTTTTAGTTAATCCATCTTCTCCCTCTGGTGCTCCCTTGAGCTAGCCCCTGATGACACCTTGACTCAGACCATCTGCCTGCATTCTCATGTGCATGCACATACACGCGCGCACGCGCATGCACACACACACGCACGCTCACACGCATGCACACACACGCAACTTGTCCAAACCTGGTCCATCTCTGTGCACATCTGTGATTATTTCCTTACAGTAAATTCACAGAGGTGGGATTATGGACCAAAGGAGGTACACATTTAGCCGTTTTGTGCCCATCTCCAAATTGCCCTGCAGAAAGGTGGTCTCAGTGTGCCGGCTTGCCACCTCCTCTCCCACTACAGGAATTTGGATGGGGGGAGGATCCTCCCCCAGCTGCTGCGGTTTCCTGGGCCCCTCATATCCTGCCTCTTTGATGGCCTGGTCCCCCCAGGGACAGAGGAGGGCAGCCAGAGAGGACTGAGGCTGAATCCCACCTGGGGGCCTTGGGTCACTCAGGGTCTCAGCTGGCCTATCTCAAGGTCAAGGTGTGTCCTCAGCACAACTCCAGACCTGCCTGAAGGGGGAGCTGGGTGGGAGAACAGGACTCAACCCCCGGGGGTGCAGAGCTGGGGCTCTGACAGGCTTGGGACCCTGCTCTGCTGCTCCCTGTCGGGGGGACGGGATCAACCTGGCGGAGCTGTGGGTCAATTGAGGGTGACAATGACAGTCCCCACTGCCCAAGGACTGGGGAGGAATCGATGACAAATGGGGAAGGCTGTAGTAGGCAGAAAAATGGTCCCCTCAGAGACATCCACGTCCTCATGCCCAGAACCTAAGGGTGTGTTACGTTAGATGGCATGGGATTTAAGGGAGCAGATGGAATTAAGGGTGCCACTCAGCTGCCCTTCAGATAGGGAGATTGGCCTGGGTTATCCAGCGTGATCACAAGAGTCCTTGCAAGTGGGAGACAGAGGAGAAGGAAGGTCCGAGGATGTGCTGTGAGGCCTCAGCCTGCAGGCTCCGAAGACGGAGGAAGCGGCCGTGAGCCAGGACATGCGGGGCCTCTGGAAGCTGGGAAACGCCTGGAAGGGCTCTCCCGGGAACCCCCAGGACGACCACCCGGGCCACAGCCAGAGAGACTGGGGTAGGCCTCTGACCCCCAGACAGTAAGATCGTAAACTGTTGCTGTTTTAAGCCACTAGGCTCAGAACTTGTTGGGCAGTGACAGGAAACTGGGCGGGGGCCCTAGTCCCGCCCCACCCACACCAGCTGCTGCGGCCTCAGCCTCACAGCTTCCCTCCCAGAACAAACACCTGCCATCAAATCTGAGCTCTCTAGAATCACCCAGCCCAGCAGCCTCTTGTCACCAGTGGGGACACTGAGGCCCAGAGAGGGTGTCAGGGCTGCACAATGGAGCCATCCTGGCTGTGGGCGGGCAAAGGGCAGAGCGGCAGGCACACACCAGCCGGCCGCTCCAGCGCCGAGCTCGCTGACCCCCTCCCATAGGAGCCCGAGGCCGAGCCTGAGGGGGTCCCCCAGCCTGGGGCCTCACCTTGGCTCTATTTAGCCTCCAGTAATGTCTTCATTTGCCAAAATAAAGAGCAGAAAGTTAGGGTTCTGAAGGGCCCAGTAGTTAATGCCTGGTGGTGGTGGAGCTGGTGGGAGAACCTCCCCCCAGGACACAGCATCATGGCTGTTAGAGGCTGAGTCGCACCCCGCCCCCTGCACATTCAGGTGCTCAGGTCCTAGCCCCCAGGACCTCAGTGTGACTCTGCGAAGATGGGGCCTTTAAAGAGGTTTAAGGTAAAACGAGGTCATCTGGGGGCCCTAATCCAGTAGGGCAGGTGTCCCTACAAGAGGGATGTTTGGACATAGACACACAGAGGGAAGACCCCATGAAGACACAGGGAGAAGACGGTGTCCGCAGGCCAAGGAGAAAGGCCCTGATCTCCACTTCCTGCCGCCTGAACTGTGAGAAACATGTTTCCGTGGTTTAAGCCCACTGGCCTGTGGCACTTTGTTATGGCTACCCTGGGAGACTTGCTCTGTGGCTGCATCAAGTCACTTGTCACCTGTCAGCACGGGAAGAGCAAGGTTCAGGGAGACTGGGACACTGGCCAGGTGCACCTGGGGGGGCAGATCTGCAGCGTGGATGCTGCTCTGGGACTGGGCTTGCACCATGCTGCCGCCCCGGCCACCCTGCTTCTGGGCAGAGCCCTGTGCAAGGAGCTTCCTGGGGGCACTGGCATCTCTGGAGATACCATCGCAGCTTCCTGAGACCCTGCCCAGTGGGGAGCCACTTCCCAGCCGAGGCGACTTGTCTAGAAAGAAGCTCTCATGTCCCCAGCCCCTTCCCTGCCAGGGGAAACTCCAGAAAGGGCAGGCGAAGGTATTGGTGGGCACTAGAAAGACACTCAATCTCCCAGATCAGCCACTATCTGGCTCCAGAAAGAAATGGAACATCTGGCCACCACTTTGGCCCACAGCGTTTATGTAACCCATGTGTGAGCACACGTGTCTCAGTGCAGGCTGGTGCCCTGGCCACGCTCCACCTGATTTCCCCCATGTGTGAAATGGGTTCCATAATAAGAGAGCTGGCAGGGCACGAGGTGGGAGCTCAGCGTGCCCTCCCTGGGCCCCACAGCATGTGCAGACACACCCATGGATGCGCACGCAGTCTTGGCTGGCTGGCTGGTCTCAGTTCCCTCACATGTAAAACTATATACAGGAAATCTAAGCTTCCTTCCAGCGTTAATGTTCTGGAACATGCACATAGACACTTCCATATCTAACACTACATGTGCTTTGATATGCATACACGTAGATTTGAACATGGGAATACATACATGTGTATGTGCATGAGTATGACCATTTACATATACATCACATAAACTGGTGTACAAATGTGCTCTGACTCACATACACAGTGCAGCCTCTCCACTTGCATTCTGGTGTACACGCACCCAGGTGTGTATGTATACACCTGGCATCACATGTTTATACACACATACATGTGCTCTTGCAATTCTCTTGCATGCCCATATTTACATGTCTCAGGCTTGCCAGATCTAGCAAATAAAAATACAAGATGCTACATGTGCTAAACACGCTTGTTTAGTTTTTCTGAAATTCTAATTTAACTCGGTGTCCTGTATTTTATCTGGCAATCCTAATATAGGTACATTTGCACACACACATTCATGAAGACACTGGAGGCTCAGGCCTAGCCCAAGACATGCCACCTCCTTGGAGAATTTCCAACACCTTCTCTCCCTCTTCTATGCTAATTAGATGCACAGCTTCTCCCCTGGCTGCGGCGCAGCCCTGGCCCCCAGGTCCAGAGGTTAACACCCTGACCCAGGACCAGGCTGGCTGTGGGGAAGGGAAGGGCTTGCGGCTGCAGCGCGGGGCTTGCTGGGACCCTGAGAAAGCTGCTCTCGCCAGCAGCCCGGCTGCGAGGTCTGCAGAAGCAGCCAAGCCCTGGGAACCCCACCCTGAGTCCAGCTGGAGTCAGAGATGCACTCTGAGCCCCCTGAGGCCCAGCTTGGCCTCTTCTCCATCCGGTGCTGCTTCCACTGGTGGGAAACAAATCAGGGCAAAGGCGTCTTGGAATCCTGAGTCCCCCAGTTCAGTCGGTCAGCTAGAAGGGTCTGTAGAGGGACAGTGACAAGCAAGATGTTAGAAGGACCTCAGCCCAGAGAGAGGGGGTCCCGGTGGGGGCGAGGCAGACCCGCCCCTCCCCGTGCAAGCAGGGCAGCCTCCGCCGCAGCCTGCCCAGGGCAGAGGATCCTAGCCCCGCACCCCGCGCCAGCTGTGAGACGGGGCTCCTGAGAGCCTCACAAGAAACAGGGTGAATTTCCTTAGGAAAGTATCCACTTCCTGGGTTATCGTGGTTTGGGTTATGTAAGAATGTATTTTCATTTAGTTAAAAATTAGCACATAGCAGAAAATCAAAAGTGAACATTTTTTGGTTCTTTCGGGTGCTTTTCTCTGCAGTCATGAACATGTACATGTATGTTGACCAAAAAGCAATCCTACACTGTAGTTTTGTGGCCTGCTTTTTTCATTTACTGATACCTTGTGACCATCTTCGTCCATCACTAATTAAACATCTACATCTTAACTTAGATCAGCTTCAAGGGGACCTCCTGTATGGAAGAGCCTTTTTTAAATACAGATTTAAGCCGTGTACAACCAGTGGTTTTTGTCTATAACTGAGGCGAAATTCACATAACAGAAAATCAACCCATTTAAACTGTGCAGTTTCGGGGGTATTTAGCATCTTCACAAGACTGTGTGACCACCACCTCTAATTCTAAAACATTTGCATCCTTCCAAAATAAAACCCCACACCTACTACAGAGACGGTCCTCCCTCCCTCCCAGTTCCTGGAACCACCTGTCTGCTTTCTGTGTCTATGGATGTGCTTGTTCTGAACATTTCATAGAAAAGGAACCATACGATATGTGACTTTTTGCGTCTGCTTCTCTCCTTTTCATGTCTTCAGGGTTCATCCCGTTGTAGGATGTGTCATGCCTCTTTACGGCAGTGTAAGACCGCACTGTGTGGGCAGAACACATTTGTTTATCCATCATCCTTTGATGAGCATCTGGTTATTTGCACCATTTGGCTGTGGTGATGGCACTGCCCTGAGCATTCATGGATGGTGTTTTGCTGAGGACTTGTCCTCGGTCCTTTTGGACACATGCCTTGAAGTAGAATTTCTAGGTCCCTGGCAATTCTCTGTGTGACTCTGGGAAGAACTGCAAACTTTTCTACCACAGTGGCACATTTTACGTTCCTGCCAGCAGTGTATGAGGCTCCCAATTTCTCCACATCCTCATCCACATTTATTATCTGTTTTCTCATTATAGCCGTCCTAGTGGTTGTTGAGGCCTGGCTCCCAGTTTTTCTGTGACTATGAGGAATGCAGTTATAACCCTTGTCTGTGACTCTTGGCATTATTTTGTTGTATTGAATTCCTGGCAGTGGAACATGCATACCGAGGAGAGAGAGAGAGTGTATATGTTTCTAAAAGGATTTTTGTTTTGTTTTATTTTGTTGAAGATAGATGATTTTTAAAAGGTTTTGGTGAGTTATTACCAAATGGATCACCAGACGTTTCACTAACTTACCCTTTCTCTAGCAGGATGAAGGGTGTGGGGAAAACAGAAGTTCCCATGGCCAGGATCCTCACCTGACCCTGAACCACTCGATGATGTAAGTAGCCTACTGCTGGGCTGCTGCTTCCACACCCATCATGAGCCATTATTGTCTGTGTTACTATATAAAGAGCTCTGCCCAGCGCTCTGCTTGGAGGCAGAGCTGGAGAGGGATCATGAAGGGTCCAGAGGCAGACATGATTCCTGCACTCGACCTACCACGGGAAGAATAAAGCTTGGTATGAACCCTTTTATCCCTAATGTTGCGTTGTTATTCAGTCTCACCGAATTCAGAGTAAACCTGCCCAGGGGGCAATCCCCTCAGGCAAGACAGTGTGCTAAGACTATTAGGGGCTGAACTGTACCCCACACCAAATGCGTATTTGAAGCCCTAACCCCAGGACCTCAGAATGGGACTGTATTTGGAGACGGAGCCTTTAAAGATGTGATTAAGTTAAAATGAGATCTTTAGGGTGGGCCTAAATCTAGTATGACTGGTGTCCTTATAAGAGAGGCACCAGGGCTCTCAGAGAAAAAGAGAAACCACACCTGCCCACACCTTGATCTTGGGCATCCAGCCTCCAGATCTGTGAGAAACTAATAACTTTCTGTTGTTTAAGACGCCTAGTCAGTGGCATGTGGTGACGACAGGCCTTGCAAATTCACACAAAGACCCAACGTTTCCTCGTCAGCTTGTGAAATGCTTGCATTTGCTCCTCGTGGGCTGCCTGCCCCTGTCCTAGCCTTTCTCTTGCTAAGGAACCTTAGCAGCCTGTGCGGTCGGCAGCCTGCCACGCTGAGGAGGAGACCAAGCTGCCGCACTGAAGTGGAAGGGCCCTGGCAGCAGGTGGCCTCTCTCAGAGGAGTGTGGAGAATAAGCAGAGCAGGGGCTTTGCAACGATTAAAAACCAGAAGGAGGGTCAGGTCCCACCTGCAGAGGTGCGGCTGTAATTGGTCTGGGGTGTGGTCTCCACAGGGTGAGTCTGTCAAGCTCCCCAGGTGATTCCAGTGCAGTCAAAAGTGAGACCCACCAACCCTGACCTCCAGGACCCTCAGCTGGACCAGCCAGTGGTGTGCATCCGGGGCAGGGCTCATGCCGCCGAGCCTCTGGCAAGAGTCCCGAGAGTTGCCACCCCATGTTCAGGGAGGCCCAAGTGCCTAACTCTACCATTTCCACTGTGGGTGAGGAGGAGGGAGTCTCACCCCCCAAAACTGGCTTCTACTTATTATTTTCATGCAAGACGTGCTCCTGCCAGTCATTGAGCTATTAATTCCCTGTGTTTCCTCCAGCAGATGGGTCTGCACGTGGGCTTGGTCAGCAGGACTGGGCTGCAACGCCAGCTTCCCATCAGAGCCTTTCTTGACTGCTTGCAGCGCCGGCGTCGGCACCTCTAAGATGGGAGAAGTGGGATTGTTCTGAAAATCTGCTCTGGGGTTCAGTCCTCCGACTCCACTCCCGCATGTCTCAGGTGGGTGAGCGGATGAGTCTCCTCTCGGCTGCCTCGGGTTGGTGCTGAGCTCTGTTACTTGTAACTGACAGAGTCGGGCACGGACAATAGGCATTCAGAAAATGGTCCTGGAAATGAAGTGCGTGCACTTTAACCAGGGTGGGCTGAGCAGATTCACGGAGCCAACTGCTCCTCACCCCACAACACCCATCCCCGGAAACGGGGGGAGCCAGGTCACCCTCCTGCCTCCGTCTCCAAGTCTAGGCTAATGTGTTAAATGACACAGGTAGATTTTTCTAGTACCAAAACACCCCTTGCAATCTTAGGATATAGCTAATTCCATCATGTATATTACACTTTTTCAGGCACTCTAGTATTCCGCTAATGTTTTAGTTATATTAGTTGCATGTTTTTACCTTTATATTCATGAGTGAAATGTGCCTACAATTTTCCTCTTGCATTAGTCTTGGCTGGTTTAGACTCACGCAGGTGATCCTGGCTTTGCAGAGTGAATCCCTCCTTCTCAGATCTCTGGAATAGTTGGTGTAATACTAAAAGGATCTATTTCTTAACATTTTGG